GCTTTGTAGAAATAGCTGCACTTATTCTGTGAGGAACAAAATATGCTCCTGCCAGTTGGCTGAGGACATGCATCATCAGCCTGACCTTTCAGCCAAACCTAAGTGCTCAGTTACAGCTGACCAAAACTGGGTCTGTAGATGTTGCCAGACCAACATCTGTAATAGTTGCACAGAAAATGCTGTTTATAAGGATTTGTGCAAATATTATTACACCAGCATACATTTTTTTGAACACAGAGATGCAGTCAAAAATCTCAATTCTTGCATGAAACTGGATATGGAATAATACTGTTTGTCTGGATTATGCTCATGGTACAAATCCCATAGTGAAGGTTAGTGAGGCAAATAGGCACACAGAAACTGTGTAGGTGATTTTCCTTTATACGCCTCACTGTCCTATTCACAATTTCATGCTGCATTTCTCTCGCTGCATGGCCTTGCTGCTGGTTTGGTGAGATTACTGACACAGACACAAAGACTCACCAGAAAGTCTTTGGTCCAGTCCAATTACATTCACCAAAACTGTAGTTTGAGTGGATTTTTACGCTACAGTTTTACCAATCTGGAGCCTTAGCCCCTGGCTTTCAGTAGTCTGTGCTTTGTACAATTGCCCATGATTAGCTTTTGAATTTTATTTAACCAGTTCTTTTCCAAGAAATTCCCTGGCATGCTTTGGAAGCCAGAATACATCCAGCAGGCCAGTTGGTTCTACTAATCGTACTTTGAAGGCTGAGAATTCTGTAGCATAGATGTATTTGCTCCATATCAGTTGGTCTCAGTGCTCAGGAATGTTCCTAGGCACATTTAATTATAACAATATAGATGTAGCCTAGATGTCTGGTCCAGACAACACTCTGACTGCCTTCGTCCCAGAAATATGTAATTTTTAAAGTGTGATGCTCTACTTAATTGCATAGAGTGGACATCTGTGCATGCACAGAAGAACCCTTCACTGCAAGGCAAGAGCCTGTCTCCTGCCAAAAAGATGTGCCATAGCTGTAGTACTTCACTGCAGAGGCCAGGGAGTCAAGAAGAAAGAAAAGATGTGAAATTCTGGTCCTTGTTGTTATAAGGTTGGAAAAAACCCTTCTTTCCCCCCCTGGATAGGGCTTTTACTCTAGGTATGTTATTTCTCACATAACATCTTGAGACACTTGTCAATGGCATTGGAGATCTTCTACTCCAAAAAGTAGGTTGCCTAAAATGAAGGTATTTGACAGCTGTAGGAATTATGCAAAAGGCAAATAATAGTATCATTTTCCCTTTATTCTTTCCTACCATTTACAAAAGGACTACCATTTCTGAATTAATTATCTGTCCTCTGAGGTAGTTGAACAACTAAAGTGATAAACAGATAAAGGATCTTCCAGTGTTTCTCACTGTCTGGCTTTAGTATCTGGTGTTCTTAACCATAGGAGCACCAATGGTTTTCCTGTTGCTACAGAAGGACAGAGAGTTGAGATAGATTCAGTTGATTCCCTTATTAATTTTTAGTCACTGGGATGCCTAAGTAAAACCTGGCCTGATGGCCCTTAGTCTCTCATCACTGCTGGCATTAAATCCTAGCTTCACTGAAGCCAGTGGAGACATTCCAGCTCTGATTCAGTTTTGTAAACACAGACATCTCTTGATCCTTTGAATATCCTAGGGTATTCCACCTGGAATCTATATTCTGTTTAAGAAAGATATAAGGTTCCTCTTCTTCTGCTGTCATATCTGCTAAATGATTTGGATATGGTAGTACAACTCAAATGTCTAAATGCTCGTGTTTACATCACTGATTAGAGAGCCTACTATCATATAGCAGATCCAGGATTTTCTCTCTTATGCTTAGTTTTTTATAATCACAGTGTTTGTCTATAGGTCCTTTGTGTGGCTGGAGTTTTGATTGTGTGCTTAATAAATGATTAATTATCCTCTTTTTCTTCTCTACTTGTTTTGGACTCTTTTCCTGTGCACATACAGCTTTTTAAACCAGTTGCTCCTTCCAGTTGTGTTTGACTCATCCATGGCAAGGGAATAGATATAGATTATCAAACTTTCTGTAAATCTAGCCCATTAATTTTACTCCTTCTCTCTATTTTAATATTCCATTAATTTTTGGAGTCACTTAGATTTTGGAACAACATGCAGGCATCTGGCAGAAACCCAGGACAGTATGCTTCCCTGTCATACTTGCTCTTACAGTGAGTTGAAGTTTTTTGGCTCTAGAGTAAACCATCCTTTATCTAATTTTTGCATTTTAGAATGTCAAAAGTAGATATTTTTAATTAAATTTCTGGGGTTATCATGGGTTAGGTTCAAAACACTTATTACTTGGAAATTCTTGTAAGGAATGCATAGATAATTTTAGCTTGTGCTCACTCCAGAATAGCTGAATTTCTCAGCTGTGATAAAATGGCATCACTAAACTCTGTTACTTGCCTGTTCCTTCATGAAAGGCAGGGCAAAAATCCTTTTGTATAATAAGGAACAGGCAGTTTGGTGTTTGCATGGAAATGCTACCTGTTAAAGTGAAAACTGCAACTGTTACACTTCTTTCTTATATTTTTCCTTAAAACTTCCTTGAGCAAGGTTAGCTGCAGAAAGCTTTGGAGTCAAACCACTTGTGCACATACAAGCAATTGTGGATGACCATCATGCTTCATAAAGTTTCAGTTATGGTCTCTCACTTGTCACTTGTGCTGTATCCCATCCACACTTTCTGCCATGAAAATTATGATGGCTCTCAGTCCATGCAGGGGCCTCTTCAGTCAATGAGAACTTTGACCAGGGATGATATACATAACAAGTTTTGGATGATATCTACAACTTGAAATTACTGCAAAAATCTTTTTTCTCAGGAAAGCTGAATATTAGACTTGACAGTTTCCTTGCTTTTATGTGTGCGATATGAAAAGGCCTAGAAATAAATATTTCTATATAGTATCAAAATTTCACTGCTTTTTGCAGCCCTATATGCCAACACAATTCAGTTTTCTTCTTAGCCCAGACAGACCTAAAGTATATGCCATCATGAATGGATCTGGCAGTTCAGAGGTAACATGTTGTGTACGTGGAGCCAGAGGCAACAATATCCATAGCACATAAGGAATTTACTGCACATTAATATCAGTATAAAAAATATAAGTCAGTCCTAGCATGCTAACATTGAAATCCTTTCACAGTCCAGAAATGGACTCTTTGTTCTAGAGATGCTGCCAAAGGAAACAAAATTTAAAGGTAAACAGTCCGTAGCAGGTAACAGGACTGATGGAAAATAAATTTTTAGACAATAGAGGTGTTTTCAAGATATATGAAAACAGTTGCTGGGATGCTGTGGTTACAGAGGCAAAATGCTTTTTGTCAAGCTATTTAATAGTTATGAAGATGAAATTACAACGTATGTTATCAATTAACAAAATGTAAATTTGCTAAAGTAATCTTACATACGGAAGAACAATTTCCTGGAGCATAGTCATAAATGTTTCTTTCAGAAGCAGAAGGAATTCATATGCACACAAAATACATTTTAGCTCTGCTTGTGTTAAGTAGCTCAAATTTTCCAGTGTAAAGCGGTGACACTCTGTGACGTCAATACATACTAGGAGCATCCTAGTTCTGCATTTCACCCATCTGAGAGGTCATTTTTATAAGGGAGATAAAACATTCTTTTCTGCCAATCATACAGATGCAAATACACCTTATTTAATATTTGCAGTCTGTCTATAGATAAAAAAACATGTAAGTGCTAAACTTCAGTAACGTATATAGTATATTTGTTAAGGGGTTTTCAGCTATAGTGCGTTTCAATGTGATTAAAACTTTTCTTTCAAGAAAAGGTTCTTTGTAATTTGCTTAAATAAGAAAAAAATGGCTAAACTAATATTTGAAATAAATAAGCACTACTGAGACGTATGAGACAGACCTCCAAACCAAGTAGGGATAGTCTGCTTGAGGCAAGGAGAGAAGAAATTATGTTCTGTGGGAAATGGCTAATACAGAAAATATGCAGAAGAAGGCAGAAGATAATGCTGAGAGAATGTTTCACTGGCAGAATAAGTATCTGATTTGAAGAAACAAAGACCAGGATGCCCGATGGAGAAAACAAACACTGTGCAGGTATTCCAATAAACAGGAAAGAATTTCAGGCAGACGATGATTAGCTGAGTTACTACACATATCATGCATTACATGCAAGATTCAAGTTTCACTATAGGTGTGTAGTGGAAGAGTTGCAAAATCATCAGCCTGCTTTTTTTAAAAAGAAATGTATTTCAATATATGTATTTGTGACATCGTTTGAGCACCTTCTTATGTTTTGGCAAAAGTATAGCAACATTTGTTACAATTATACATTGATCACAGCTGAAACTTCACCAGCAAGGATGTTTTCAGTGCTCATCTTACTTATAAAAGAGACCCTAAATGGAGTTATATCTCGCTTAGTAGAACAAAGTATTGTAATGTACAATTGCTTGAATTGAATGCAATAATTTCTTCTCCAAAAATTGACATTCAGATTTTTCAAACACTAGGATCAAAGCTGAAGTTACTCATCAAATCATCGCTTTATCTCTGTGGGTTTAAGCCAGAATTTTTTCAAATAAAGTTTTATTTTATGTGCACTAATTATTAATTGAATTTCCATATCATAAAGTCCATTTATAAATGGACTTGTTTACATCTGACAACTCCAAAATGGACTAAGAGAAGTCAAATAAACTCATGGAATGGTTTCGCTATTGATGTCTTTCCTTTTTTCTGCTTTAATTGACAAGTGATTGAGAAAAGCAAGCATCCATTTGCAGTTGTGTAAAACCTTAATTTCACCAGTAAGTATTTTTAGGTTGCATTCTTAAAAAGCTGATAGAGTTTTAATTGTAAAGGGACTTCAATCCACTGACCCTTAAATATATGAACACGAAATAAAAACAACAACAACAAAAAGTTGCCCTGATATTGCAAAACTGATAAAATAAAATGTTCTTTTATATTTTTCCAGAGTTTTAGTATGTCACTCTCTCTCTGAATAATGTAAGTAACAGAGACTATGCTTGTAGCCTCCAAGCCTAATAGAAACAAAATGACACAAGGATTGGCTGAAATACAGTATCATAAGGAGACACCAAATGGGAACCTCCTCTAGGTCTTTGAGAATTCCCAGTCCTGTGGGCTAGGAAGTCTGGTATTTTACCAAAGCTTATTAGGAGAGGTAATGAACTTAGCCACAATACCAACACTTCTGCATCGCTTTCAGTTCCCTTTGAAGTGTTCAAGACTAGCTGGGGACTTCTTCACACATCCTGTTATACTGTATTACACATGACAGGTTTTTCTTTGGGGCTGTCTTTTTTATTATATTTTTGAATGCTAAATTAAAATTAGTAACCCTTGGTTCTGATTATAAATTTAGGCTAAGATTTCTAAGCAGCACAAGAATCTAAGTAAAATGATTTTTATCTGCCTAGTACTTAAGACTCTGGTACTTAACTCCAGACATTGCTGTAAGTGAATGATTGTGCAAAATCCTTGGTTCTGTTCTTAAGTGATGCTCCACAGTTTCTGGAACAAGTGCCTCAGGTGTACAGGTTGACATAGATGCTTAGAGCATTTAGGTCTGAACCTCCTAAGAGACATTCAGAACTTTGAAGCACACTGCCATTTATTTGTACAGCACTAAAATGGAACAAGTTGTTCTTCTAACCTGCTCAGCAAATACTCTATATAGCTCTCAGTTCTCAGTTCTATATACTCTATAGTTCTCAGGAGCCTTTTCTGTCACTGCTAGTCTTAGACTTTGTGTTACAGGCTCTGCTAAAAGCAAAGATAGGGACATAGATCTCTTTTTCTGCTACATTTCTTTGTAAAACTCATGACATTACTTATGTGTATTAACGTTAAGGTGCTTTGGTGCCTTTCTCCCTACTTCTAGTAGCAATAGTTCTATTGCACTATCAATTAAAAGGACCACTGCTAAAGCAGATCTTTGCTTGGAAAAGTATGACTTAAATACATAAAAGACTTTACACTTGAACTCACCATGACTTCTTGTAAGCACCTCTTAACTGTAAATTGACTTTTTTTTTTAAACTGCATCTGTCTGTAAACATCAGCAAAAAGTAATTTACAGAAAACAGAGACACAGAGAAATATAAACAGAGAAGGTGATTCTGTGATGTGTTTTTTCTGTGATAAGTATTTTTAAATATAAATTTGAAACATTTGATATGAAGTAAGAAACCATATGAAACCTTGACAATTCTTTACCACAAATGTAGCAGATCTTTTATAGTTTTGTGTGAGAGAAATGTAAATGCTGAAGCTTAGATTTTTATATTAAGCCTTCAGTTTATCTTGAAAGATACAATTAGTTTTTAACAGCTAGATAGAAAATAATGATTTGTGATTGTGAATGCAGACAGAATTATATGCCAGGGCCAGAGATATTGTAATTCCTTCTCTCTTCACACATGTCTTGGCTCAAAAACAGAGGAATGTTTTCATTCAAACATACATTTTGTCTAATTGCTTGATAATGCATCTGTGTAAGTGATAGATACAATTAGACATAAAATAAAGAATGGTATCAAGAATGGCACCCCGAATCATCATTCTTCATATTGGTGTCTGCTAGGTGTTTTTTGTGAAGGAAGACCTAATATTACTGTTAGATGTGAAGAAAGCAAGCCATATATTGCAAAGAAGAGCAATAAAAGCATATCTCCATTTCTTGGTTTGAGAACAAAATTCATATGAATTCAAAAGTGACCACGTGTTTGGCAGTATTTGTGCACTGTATTTATATTACTAGGGGGTGATGCCAATTCTCACATCTTGGTAAGTAAAACTAACTAAGGATAAATCCACCTTTTTGTTCCTTAATCACTCATTTGATATGCCAAAATTATATTACTAAACAAATATAGAAAGTAATTCTAGTAATATTTTTGTTATTTTTTCTGTTTGGAGGCCTATTTCAGGAGGACTTCCTCATACTCAAATATACTTTGCAAATATAAATTCAATTATATTATATCATCTTTTTGATGCTACTTTTATTGACTGAGCAATTTTTTTCATTACATTAAGACAAAAGTAACTTTTGATTCCTAATCTAAAATTTCAGTTGCACATTGCATAATTATTTTACAGTTAAAAACTAACAATTCTGTTATTAAAAAAAATATATAGCGACAGTAATGTAAATATTTTTCCTTGAATAATAGAAGTAAGAGTATGTACCATTTAATGGTAAGTATTTTAACAGTAACATGCACTCTTTTAACCAAACTTTCCTGAGCTAACCTCACCTTCTACATGCAGTTGTCAAATACACTAACATACAACCAGGATAAATACCATTCGCTGCCCTGAATTTACAAACAGCCTGCAAGCAGTCAATTTACATTGAATTTCTGCATGTGTCTTTTTCAGGTTTATTATTATTTTTATTTCAATTGCTTTGGTTATACCAAAAAGGAAATCAGAGAGGGTAGCATATTATTTTTGTATGTTAAACAACTAAATAGCATGCTTTATTAGGGTGACCCAACATTTTCTTCTTATGAAGCAGAAAGTCAAAAAGATAATTTTGGTGTTAGGCATACAGCCTTTCCTCTGAATAAGAAAAAAGTTGGAATTTGACAAGGTCTAACCTTTAAAAACCTCAAAATCAAATTTAGGCATTAAAGTTAACAAGGTTTTCAAAAATGTAGTACAAGGAAGCTGGACACCTAGAAGATGTAAAGTATTACTCAGATGCTAAGTATTGGTATTTAAAATGCTGAAATATTTAAAATCAACCAAAATATTGACTAAGCTTCTTGAATTTCTTTTTATGAAATGAAGAAATTTCATCACAGCAGGGTACCAAGATAGCTCACTGTATAATTTTGGAATCTGGGACAGCCCTGGTGATGGGGATCTCAGCAGCAGTAACATGAGGGTGAAGGTTCAGGTTCAGAGAGCTGCCAGGCCTACAGCTCCAGGAACACTGACACTTGAAAAGGTATTGCAAGGGCATCATGTCAGAGTGCCAGCATTGCTGGCTCCACACCTTTTAATCTCTGCCACCTATAGCAATGAAGATCTCTGCCAGAGTTCCAAGCTGCCATTAGGGCTAGGGTTAGGTTGTAGAAAGTGAAAAGTGTAAAACACACACCAAGAGGATCACAGCAGGGCCAAAACTCTGCTGCCTCCTCACTTTTCAGATTAGTTTCATGCTTGGGGATGGTCACCTCTTCTGTAGACTCAAGCGTACTTAAAGTTAGCATGAAAAATCTTTTTAATCTCCAGCCTCCGTGATCATGAGGACCTCTGCCACTGCCAAGCTGCCATTAGGGCTAGTGCTATGGACTGGGGTTAGGGTTGAGAGAATAAAAGAGCTTACAGCTGGAAAAGACATCCCAAGGTGATCCCATCAGGGCCTCAATTTAGCTGCTCCTACATCTGTCTCATCTGGACCACCCATGGTGACGGGGACCTCAGCCCCAGCAACAAGATGACTTTAGGCTAAGAGTTAGGGTTGGGAGAATAAGAGCCTAGAGCTCCAGGGACACTGGGGCTGGAAAAAACGTGCAAGAGGACTGTGGCAGGGCCACAGCTCTGCTGCCTCCTCACCTTGCATATTAGTTTCATGCATGGCAATGAACACCTCCATTGTAGACACCAGCTTGCTGATAGGTTAGTATGAAAAAAAAGGTTTGATAATTAATAGCATATGTTAAGCTAGTCTTAGGTAGTATCTTTCTATAATCCTAGTTAATATCTCCCTATATAATTGGTGGTAACACTGAAAGATTTGTATTTTAGATAAAAAAGGATTAAAATAAAATTCTGAACTTATCAAAGACATCAGCATATCCTGACCTCAATATATTTGATACGATGTTTAATTTAAATTAATGTCTTAATGAGATAATTTTGCAACACAGTAGCAATACTGACTAAAATCTTGAACAAGGCTAGGATTCAGACAAATAACCTGAAGCCATTCAGTGGCACTTGTGAGGTTCATTTTAAACTACAGCCTGAGACTTGCTTCTTTGTGGGTAGAATCTGAAGAAGAATTAATTTTGCAAAATGATTAGGGTCAGAATAAAGTTACTTCTGGAAATCTCTCTTGACTAGGTAAGTTGAAATCAGAAGGAGAGTGGGCAGAAAGAGATTTGTTTTCTACTTAACTATTAATTTACTTCATCTATTTATCATGGTGGTTTTCAATTATTTACCATTTATTCTATGTGCTACTGTAAAGTCCAAGTATGAGAAGCAAGTGAACTAAATTATCTGGCATTCGTCTTCATGAGCTTCTGAGCTGTCATAAGCTCTCTAGCACAGCATGTGCCTTCAGTCGACACTTCTACAAAAGTGACTTTGCAGCCTGAGCTTTTGTAGGAGTTCTTGTGTGTAGAGTGATCGGGCAGGCCTCTGTGACTGCCTTAGCTTGGTTACAGACTGATATAAAGAGCACATCTTTCATGCCATTCAAGAATGATGTGAACTTTGAGTCAGCTTTTAGGCCTTTTATAATTGTTCAGATATCAAGCAAAGACTTCAGTGAGAAAGTGAACTTTCATTATCCTGAAAAGCTGTAATGGATCCCAGACATAAAATCAAATTAATATTTAATTTTTTTAACCAGTTAACCATTTAAATATAATGAGAGTGTAGTGCAATGCCACTGTCTGTGTACAACTCCTCAGTGATTCCTATAATGCAGATACTCCTGGGAAGGAAGTTCTTTTTATTTTTTGGTCAGTAGTTGAAATAGATCTGCACTGAATTGTGTGGTGACATCTGGGGGAGTTGGAATTCACAACACTGTGCATGCCTCAAGTTTTAATTTTCAGACTTGCATAGTTTAAAATTACATCTGTCTGGAATGTACCACTGAAAGGATTTTTCCAACATTGTTTCCTGATCCAATGAGCTTTAAATTATTTCTTCATGAATTTTCATGAGAAAATTAAACTAGATTTTGTTGCTATGAAAGAAGGGAAAATACAAAATTTTTAACCTCGGGAATCAGACTCTCATTTAACTATATTTAAAATGTAATTCTGAACCCTTGCGCTAATTCTGTTGTGCAGATTTCCTTATAAAAGCGGAAAGTAAGCCAAAAATGTATTTATGGCCTACAGTAGCTGAAGCAGCAGTTTGTTGGAAAGATCGTGCCACAGCAACGGTGGATGTAGGCTGGTTTTGGTGCCTGCCTCCCCATCCTGCCAGTTGCCAGGCAACACTGGCAGTCCCAGTATGTCCTACACTGCAGATCAAGCTTCCTCTGCACATACCTTTTTTCATCATGGCTTCAGCTATTCCTGATTCCAGCACAATGGTTTTCTCTTTTTACACTGGAGCTGCATTTATTACCTACTGAAGACAACTCTAGTAACAACAATTTACCTTTCATGTTTCTTTTCACTTCCAATGTGACCTACACATACAGAAATTGGTCTGTGAAATACAATCATCTATTGGAAGAAACAACTGTTTTGTCACAGCAGCAGAGCTCACAGCTTTTTGGGATATATAATGAGAAACAAAACAGATATTTAAACAATGGGGGCCTCTATTTCAACAAGTGGACTTAAGTAGACAGGATTTAATTATAGCTGTAGTTTAATTAGAATGAGGTTGATGCTGCTGCTCTGAAGATACTTCCTTTTCTTTATGTTTACTTTGAAAATCAGGGTCAAGTTATTTGAAAGCTAGTAAAATAAAAAGAGCACCACCCCTTAGCACCACAACTTTTTGTGGTATATTTAAAAAGAATAAATCATCATCTAAGTCTATGCTAGAAACATGCATGTTTTCCTCTGGCAGTCACTAATTCAGTAAATAACCTGTGTAATAGGATGGATTTTCAAGTCACAAGGGTTTAGTAGTAGACTGGGGTACCTGTAACAGCTTCTCCTCATTAACAATTATTGCATAGGCTTGTTTGCTTTCTCAGTGATGCTTTTCATCTTATTTGGACTGAAGTCTCTTGCTACTATACCTGGCAATGCTATTGCCAGAATTGTTGTTGGCAGGCTGTAAAAA